TGTAGTTTGTGTTAAGCTTTGCAACGCGTCATTGTAATTCGACCACCTGGAGAGCTTAAGATAAGGCCGCCAAGAAGCAAACTCAGCTATTTTTCCGTAAATGTTGTGTAAACTGCACATTTCCTCCTACGTCACTTTTTCATTTGCACACACGGGTTAAAGTGGAGCGGTTTCGGTGGTGCGAAGAGTCAAATGTCACGCAGTGGTTGCTCGGACTGTGACACCTGCTGCATGCCCGGCCCCAAGTTCTGTTGGTAGTCTTTCAGGTCAATCCATAATTATTTATTAAAGTACATAGGTACACTTGCGCCTACATTATTTTGCCTTTTGTGGACTTAATATGCAGCACTTATGTATTTTAGAAAACAACGGAAATATATATATTCAAAACACAGCCATACCAGAAGAATGTAATGCGTTACAAGAAAGGCACGACAATTCCTGAATGAGTGATTTAACGAAGTAGATTAAAACCTCGGTTAGCAGGACTAAGACGGGGGGAGTCTTGGTCTGACGAACTACAAAGTCCGGATAGCTTGATGAACAAAGAGCTATGGAGACACACGGAGGAACAGAGACAGGGCTCCACGTGTCGCTTTGGCTGCACGACCGCTCAGGCTCACCACCTCTTTCCCTTCCACCTTACGCTGCCCCCCCCTGCACCCCCAGTCCCCCGCGGTCCCCACGGTCCAGGGAAGGGGCGGAGAGTTTGGTGGGGGCCTTGCAATCTGAGCAGTGAGAGCAGGGAGTGCAGCTCTTTGGCTGACCCCCTTGTGGCTCTTTGACTGACCCCCTTGTGGCTCTTTGGCTGACCCCCTTGTGGCTCTTAGGCTGACCCCCTTGCGGCTCTTTGGCAGACCCCCTTGTGGCTCTTTGGCTGATCCCCTTGTGGCTCTTTGGCTGACCCCCTTGCGGCCCTTTGGCTGACCCCCTTGTGGCTCTTTGGCTGACCCCCTTGTGGTTCTTTGGCTGACCCCCTTGTGGCTCTTTGGCTGACCCCCTTGTGGCTCTTTGGCTGACCCCCTTGTGGCTCTTTGGCTGACCCCCTTGCGGCCCTTTGGCTGATCCCCTTGTGGCTCTTTGGCTGACCCCCTTGCGGCCCTTTGGCTGATCCCCTTGTGGCTCTTTGGCTGACTCATTGTGGGTAGCCGTTAATTGTTTTAAACTGAATTTACTTTATTCGGCTCTTTACACTCTCAAGTGTTAGTACAGGCAGTTCCCGCTTGAACGAAAATGCGTTCGGGGAAACCCTGTTGTAATTGAGACCCTACGTTTCCATAGACGCAATGTTACTCCTGTCTTGGTGACAAAATGTACAGTTAAACTGTAGAATAACTACATCCCATGATGTAGCTGCTCACTCCGAGCTCTCAACGCCCTGATGGTGGCCCAAGAGTTACACGTACCACGTGGCTGGAAGCACGTGACCTATTAAACATAAATACTCCCCCACCCTGTAGTCTTAACAGACTTTTGGGGCAAGTTGTTGGCGAGCACCTATGAAGGCCGCTACGGTACGGGGCCGTCCATAAATGACGTCACGCGATTTTGGACGATTTTTGACCCCCCCCCTCGTCACACGGCGTCACAAAAAGTCAGACCCCTCCTCAAATATGACGTCACGAGCTCTGCCCCCCACCCCCCAAAAAAAATAAAACATGCTTCAAATCGCTTTAAACTATTGTCATTGTAGTGCGTATTTAATGTGGTGCTGCACTCTGATGTAGGAGAAAACATTTATTAAAAAGTCTAATTAAATAGAACGTTTTGATTTAAAGCTTTCGTGACTGCAGTGATTCATATTCTTGGTTCTTTCGGTAAAGTCACGTTGAAGGGAAACAATAAAATAATAAAAATATATATAAAACAATAAAATTCTCACGACGTTTCGACTGCAACACAAGCAGTCATCATCAGGTGTGAAAACCAACGGCAAGAACATTTGAAAGAAGTGGCGGTTTGTTTTCACACCTGATGATGACTGCTTGTGTTGCAGTCGAAACGTCGTGAGAATTTTATTGTTTTATATATATATTATTGTTTCCCTTCAACGTGACTTTACCGAAAGAACCAAGAATATAAATAGAACGTGTCTATATTTATTTAAAGTTGTGCATTTTTTATGTGACGTCACATTTCTCACCCCCCCCCCCCTCTCGTCACAAATGTGTGACTCCCCCCCCCACCCCAGGTGCGTGACGTCATTTATGGACGGCCCCTACACGAGGCTGGTGCGGTCCACGAGGGGGTGTTGTGGGTGGCCAGCACCACGCCGGGCCACCTTCTTTCCCCCCTGTAACGATGATACAGCACAGCACCAGGTACTTGTTTGAGGCTGAGTCAACCTAGGGGAGGCTCAGGCCTGACTCAGAGACAAAGGCCGCCGGGCGTGGTTCTGGCCACCCACCGCTTTGTGTGCCGTGCCGGCCTTCATTGGTACTCACTGAAAGCACTTGCCCCAACAATAATGCCAAGGCTATACGGGGAATCTTTGTTTTTGTTTGTAGTTCTGGCGGGTATCTGCAATGTATTTTAATATTTGATTTGTCGAGGGGATGACTAATTCGTTAAATACAATGGTAGACGCAACCCTTATTGTCCAGATTCTTAAATATATTGCACTGATGGATTTGAAAAACTGTTCAACCACGCGGACAGACATTCAATAAAAACAAGTACAGTACAGTATCTTATTTATTAACAATCAGGGCACCAGTCATTAAACAGGCAACTGACATTCGGTCCAAGGAATACTCAATATTGTTATACAAATTAAGACAAAAATAAATTAATCAATGGCTTCATGCAGAATTTGAGCTTATCCGGCATTACCCAGTGCACAATATGTTCATGATTAGGCAAGCATCGCATCAAAGACAATCAGCATTCAGTCTCAAGCAGATGCTAGCGTTGACAAGCTGACACGGCAGACGTCTGGGGAATCTTCTGTGCTGTTGAATGTGAAGTCGTCGCACACAGCGCAGACAGCAGCTTGATGGGTGACGATACAGCAGCTGGTGACTAACTTGTCAGGTGTGGTCGGGTCTCGAGGACGTGAGAACGACGATGCTACTCTTCAACGTCTGACGCACAGACGCGTGTCTTCATCCACGGCACGTGGCCGTGTAGCACAGTTTGGCGCAATGCCTTTGATTCTCCTTCATCTCACTTGCCCTATGTATCAGCTCTGTATTATTAAACAACTGCAAACATTAAAGTTTGTTTTTAGGATTTTACTACTGCTTTACTACAATACCTCAGAGTGGTTGCTCGGCGTTTAATTATTTCTGGTGCAATTCACGGCTTCTATCGAGAGCAGCCGCACTAAGCGCGGGGCGAGTCCACGCTCACGCTGCCCGGCATCATGGATGCCAGGGTTGCCCCTGGCTCTCCGGCCCCTCTCTGGGTTCGGCTACCTCTCCCCCTTCAGGGTTCATAATTTATTTCTTATCGGATTCATGCTTTCTCTTGTGAGACATTGGAAACCTACAAATGTAGCCAGACCTCCACAGCTTGGCCCATCAGTCTATCCTTTTGTCAGAGATAAAGGTAGTTTATCTATTTGGTACCTTTCCAGACCTCATACACTTCATTTGGAGCTCTGTCGTCCCAACAGTTTTGTTACTTCACCTGAAGAGGGCTACTTGTGTTGTGGCCGAAACGTCGTGAGAATTTTATTGTCTTATTTTATTATTTTATTCTCATTCTACGTGACTTTACCGAAAGAACCAAAGAAGATTAATTGGGCCTCTCCAGCTTAGCCATCAATCTAAAGTGCTCTTCCTACAGGGTTCACATTGTTATAGCTCTCAAGTCAAGTTTTTCTCCTGTCTCTGGTGCCATGTTACCTTAGCAAAATAACATAGACATTGAAACATCCGTTAACTAATCAATTATAATTTTCCTTATGATTGGGATTAGTATTGAGACATTTAGTATTTAAATCGTTAACACCGAAAAGGATTTTTTAAAAAATCCGGGTATATCTACGACAGTCTGTATTTGTGACCCTCATGATGGCACGCTGCGTCGCTGGGAATCAGATTCATTTTCTATTCACCTTGGGGTGCGACAAGGATGTCCCCTGGCCCCTACACTTCTTTAACCAGGTCGTTGAATAAGCTTTGCATGGCTGTACTGGAGGGTTTTCCATCTGACACAGATACAATAGGAGGCTGATTGATGTCCAAGTGTAGTCAAAGGATAGCTCCCGATTCAGCACCAGACCTTTTCAACAATAAGGATGAATTCTACTAAATATGGTGCATATTAGAAATATATGTATTGTATTTGTGTTTCCATTGTGTTTTTATTAGTACAAACAAGCGTGCATATATAATTGTACGAATCTAATTAAGCGATATTCCTATTGGTTTGCAACCTTCTATATGGCTATATATATTATTGGCAGGTGTGCTCATGCTTGAATTGGATGTGAATTCCTGTGAAGGCAACGCATTTGTAATCCACACACTTGTGTTCGTTCATCAGGAGCGCGTGTGACTGCCACCTGTCCCTGTGACTTAATCCACTCGGTTGCAGGATGAGCTGCCCATTCTTGATGCGAATGTGACCTAAATATTTTCTAAAATACAAAAATAGAGGCATCAGATATGCGTGAACAAAAATGTACTGAACTTAAGAAAATGTATCATTAATTTGTGTTATCAGTCAAACATGATTCTTTATGTTATTTATGACGGCCCTGCTTGAAATATATGGTATACTGAATGTAATTGGTTGTTTATGCAACACAGAAGAAACCCCAACCTGCAGAGAACATATGGTGCCGCCGCAGCGGAGCCGCTCCATTGGGGCCGCACCCACCGGAGTTGCGATCCAAAGGCGGGAAAACCCAGACCTCCGATCAGACAGGGGGGCACGGAGTGTGGGAACAACGGGACGCCTCTGTTATAGGTAGGATTAGGGATCTAGATAGCAAAGGGACAGAAATAGCCAGGCCCCTGAATGGACAGGGTGGCACAGATGCGGAAGCAACTGAATGCCTTTTGTCATAGGTGAAATTACGGATCCAAATGACAACGGGGCAGGAACATTCCGACATCTGAATGGACAGGGCGGCACGGAGTGTGGGAACAACGGGACGCCTTTGTTATAGGTAGGATTAGGGATCTAGAAAACAAAGGGACAAGAATAGCCAGGCCTCTGAATGGACATGACGGCACGGGTGCGGAAGCATTTGAATATCTTTTGTTATAGGTGGGATTATAGACCCGAATATGAAAGGGACGGGTGGTCAAGCGCGAAAGCGACGGAATGCCTTTAGGGTGGATAAAATGCGGAGGCTGGGAGCAGTGGGACAGAGTTCTTCCTGTCATCGAGGTCCATTGGAGTCAGCCGTCGAGTCGTCCGTGTGACGAGTTTCAGCGCAGCCAGGCTCAACCCTCTACGGAGATGACCCACCGCATCGCCCTTCAACAGCTTCCAGCGCATCAGGGTGGGAATAAGCGTAAGTAGAGGAGAGGTAATCTTGGGCTATTTTACCGAGGGTAGAAAGCGGGGCTATAGGCAGAGTAAATTCAGTCTAGGATCCCAAGGGGAATAGGCTAGTATCCACTGACCCACACAATCACGCGTAGTTTAACGGGTGACTCACGGTAAATAAAATAGCTAGCAGGGGGATAAACTGCGTCGTGTGGTCTCTGTGAGTGTGAAGAGGAGGGTGGAGCGTGCTTTGTGTTCGCGTGCCTGCGCTGTTTACAACGAGGCGGAGTGCTTAGCGTGCGCGTGCCTACGCTGCTGTTTACGGTAGTGCTTAGCGCTCGCGTACCTGTGCGACTGTTTTGCGGTCGCGTACCTGCGCGGTTGTCTATAGCGAGGTAGCGAGCTAAGCGCCGGGTGTGCGCGTATATGCGCAGTGGTTTAAACGGCCCTTCAAACCGGAGCGGAGTCACGCGTCGGCGCGCTATACCCATCTGTGTCTGTGCGGGACGGAGTCTTGCTTCGCTAGCATGCTCACCGCAGCACGCCGCCGATCTCGCGTAGCGCGCCGCAAGCGCAAAGCGTACGAGCCACCAATTGAAACATGCCTACCCGGGCAGCCGCAAAGTCGGGGGCGCAAGGGGGCGAAGAATTGGGGGTTGGTAGCCCGGACCCCACAGAACAGCCGGGGGGTAGTGGGACGAATTTAACGGGGGAGTCGGGGGACAACGGCCCCGACAATTCGGTGATGGCGGGGGATGATAGCCCCCACAAACACACAGATATGAAAAGATTCAAAGCAACATATGAACGCTATCACCTTGTACAGAATTCCAAATGCTATAAAAAAAGAAGTGGCTGCGGGATATGGTGGCTTTTCGTGTGAACCACGAACCCCAGCTCAAAGTTTCTGCAGAGCGTTTTGGTTGACGCTCGTTTACGTTGTGCTGTTGGCACACATACTGCTGCTGAATGAAAGTGACATATCGCTAAACAATGAACAAAGGGGTCAAAAACCAGCAGCCTACTGCTTAAGTCAATCGGGTTCATGAAGATGAAGTGATATTATTTGCTTGGCTGACACTCAGATTAAGAGTGCAGAATCAGTGTGGAATCTAAGTAGCCCTTTATCTCGTATTGCTGCATAAAATTAGCATCACCTTCTGGGATGTAGGCAATGATTTTATATACCAATCAGTGCTCTCTACGAGAAAAGATCTGTCCCATTCTAGTTTTAACAGGTAAATACAGAATTTTAACATTTGGAAATTTTTTATCAAAGATTTTATTATAAAACGAATTGGCAGCGATTGAAAAAGTAGTCTCTCTTTTTCAGAAACCTGTTATTTTAGGTTAAATATAATAAGGTAACTTACCATAGACACAAAACATGTCTGCAGCAGGCTTGGCAGGTCCGTTTATATAGCAAATAGTCTCACTCCGAGTGACTTTTCTGTGGGAAAAAGTCACGTGTTTCTCGTGTAATATGTGTACACTGTGTGCTGCATTTCTACATTGCAGTATACACACCGCTATATTGTATTATACATTTCTTGAATATACAGAGCATCACTTCGTCCCATCCTCATGAGCAATTCCTGTTGTGTTATACGTAGCAAAACATCAATGTATTCATACACATTTTTATGAATGATTTATGGACATGGCACACATCAATGAGGTTATATCCTGAGCCTCCGCTAGCCCTTGGAGTTGGCGAAATATCCCAACTGTTGGCACCGGCCGTGGCTGCCTTCCCGTTTGTCTGTAACCTCCGTGCGGAAACTGTACACGTTATAAATTCTACAAAGTCTCAAGAGGCAATTTTCATGATTGATACTACGGGATGTAAATATTATCTTAAATAGGTGCCTGGTGCGGTGTGCACTTCTCGAGAGGTTGTGGATAACTATGGGATAGGGGTTGGCGTGGGTGTGCAGTTTTAGGCTGGCGTAGTTGTAGCAGCACCATCATCATCTCCAATTGTCATCATTCATCATTACCATCATCATCTTCTTCATTGATCATTACAATCAACTTCATTATCATTAGAGCCACTTTCACAATATGTATACAAGTGTTTTTAAGCTGATTGCAATTTAGTATCATCAACGATACCATCATCTTATTTATATTCGTCATCATCATAATCATGTTTGATTCTAAGTAATGTTAAGCCCTCTTTCATTTAGCGCCACGTTCCGCACCTCAGCGACAGATGCCGCAAGACACAAACGCAATAGCAAGCGTCAGTACGCACAGCCTCGATTCCCATCGGCACGACCCCATCTACTAATTGGCTGTGGGGTTTTTGGGGAAAGGGGGCCCATCCATGCCACATAGCCAATCGTCAGCCAAAAGCTGTCTCATAACATGAATCGGTCCTTGTGTATGTTGAAAGGAATTAATTTATTTATATTCCGTATTTACCTGCATGTTATCTCCTCATTGCCTGCAAAGTTCAGAAAATGTAGAGAAATAAAATAGCTTGTTAGTAAATTGAGCTTCATAAAGAGCAAATGCAAGAACATCAACTTTCTTGGAACGCAATCTACCCACAATATTCAGAGCTATGACAAGGATCGTCAAGAGCCTTACATCATGCACTGGCGGAGCCAGTCGGGGGGTAGGGTGGCACGTGCCCCCCCAATGATCCGATCGAAATCCCTAATTTCGATCGGATCATTGGGGTTTATTAGTAATAAATCGGCATTTTGCGATCCCCACTGCCACTGTGTAGCATTATGTGCCAGGGACTCTATGAGATGATAGGACAATAGTCTGAGTCCATAATTGGCAATAAGTAACGGCAAAGCAGTTATAAGTGACTCAGAATTGTGCGCAGTTGCGTATACAGTCCACGACTTCCCTGAAGGCATTCACCTTCAGCGAGCGCGATACCGATCACACAACGCGGTTGGAATTCGAGCCTCGATCGACGGCTGTGCCATCACCGCACACGCGTCGAATAAAAAGCAAAGGATAAGTCCTTACAAACAACGCCTATCATTTTTCATTGCTGGAGGGGTTACCCCCCCTACCTGAAAATCCTGGCTCCGCCATTGCTTACATGCATTTATTATTGTGAATTGTGCAACAGTGGTTATCCTATGGAGAAGTTAACTTTTCAAGCAGGAAGATCACGTTTTAACTACTGCCCAGAACTACTAATAGAGGTGGCGACTGCCCAATCCTCATGTTAACATGGCACTGCTGACTTATGGCCATGTTTGCAAGGTTGCATGTGGTGTTAACGTTGGTTCCCTTGATCCTTTGTAATTAATAATGTTCTCATCCAAGAGGGGTAAGCCGATCCAGAAGTCCTCTTGATTGTATTTGCTAACACCTGCTGTATGCAGGGTTGTCACCATCCAAGCACGATGCGGGCTTAAAACTGCTTAGCCTCCAAAATATGATTTGATCAGTTGTATTCCAGGCAACCGGGTCATATACAGGATACTACATATACAGAGCTCCTCTTACATTATGAGACCTCCTTTGCCAGTAACAAGATATAGTAATAGGTTTTACCCTTTTAACTGGCACAAAAACTGACACCTTTATTCAAGGCATCATGTTTGCAATAACCACAACACAAGCAGTCAAAATGCAAACAAAAGAGACAACTCTGATAATAATATGCACTGTCCTTGAATTTGATTAGTCCACACCCGAGACGGCTTTTCTTAGAGCCCAGTCTCCACTGGTGTTGGACCAGATGACGCCAAAAGGCGTACCTTAAAGGTGTCAGTTTTTGTGCCAGTTAAAAGGGTAAAACCTATTACTAGAGCTCCTCTTATCCGGAGAACTATCACCCATGGGAGCTGAAGGGTCCCTCAAAGCTTCGATTATCAAGCAGCCCAATTTCTTGCTCTTATCTGGGGTTATCTGAGATTTAACCCATCATTTGTAGTGAAGTGGCTTACTAATACTCGCGATATTCTCGCCGATTAAAGGAGTCATGGAGCAAATTACTTTCGAATATCCGCAGGGTTATCAGCAATTAAAGCAATGGCTTGCTAACAAAGCAATACACGGGTGGCACATGCTATGATCACGAGAAAGACACGCAGACACGAATATACTTACAGGCACACACAGACATGAATACAGACAAAGATTCACGAAGACACGAATACACTCACAGACACGTTGACACAGACAAACAGGAAGGCGTGGAGACGCAAAGACAAACATGGGGACACTAACAAAAAGACGAAGAATTGGAGACGTACACAAACATGGGGACTCAAAGCCAGAGTGAAAGAGACACAGACGGAGAGACAGGGACACACTGGCCTTTCCAGGAATGAGCTTGGACGGGACATGTTGCGAGTCAAGAACACATACAGTACACTCGAACAGCTCCACCCTTTTGTGTTAATATTGTTGTGTATCCCCAAGTCTGTGTGTTGTGTCTCTTTTCGGCTGCGTAATGCTGTGTGGAAGCTACCTGGTCTGTAGCTCCAGTCATGCCCTCCTTTCTCTATGCTTGTGAAACGTGGACCTATCTAACCGAACATCTGCACTGATTATAAACATTCAGGCTGGTTGGCCTATGATCCATTCTGGGTTTAACCAGCCTGGATTGTGTGAAAAGCTTACAAATCCTTGAAAGATCTGGACACATCCCCATCAATGGGCTCCTCCGGCGGGCAAGGCTGCATTGGCTTGGTCACATAGCACACATGCCCAGCCACCGCATTTCCAAGCAGCTTCTGTTTGGCTAGATCGAGGGGGATAAATGGGCATAACACGGACTGGAATAGAGATGGCCTGATGCGGTACAGGAGGATGCGGAGCTGAGTGGACTTGCCGAAGACTTGAACCAGCGGTGCCTCTATGGAGGAGGCTTGTGCAGGATGCTACTGGGTAGTTGGAGGCAGTTGCCCTCCAACAAAAACGGAGGGCAGACGAGCGACGCTCACAACAAGCGAAGCGCCGGCCAGTTAAAATTCAGCAAGTTGGCACAGTAGGGGCACAGTCATCTGCCAGATGCACAACCTACTACTGTGAACTATTCCTCCT